TATTTAATACTACTTTATGAATCAATCTGTATAGTGCATATAATATATATTATATTCGACCATACGAGTAATTAAGATAATGATATATATATTTTGTTTTTATGTCAAAATTATTGACATAAACACAAAGTGTTTAATTATTTTTAAATATAAATAGTAAATAATTTTTAACTTCAAAAGTTTTCCTTTTTTTCGCTGTAACACAGCGTTTTCGTATTATCTGTCGTCATTAGAATATATGTCGTAGGTACATGCGGGACTCACGCCGCGTGCTTAATTTTACAATGTTTTTTTTTTTATTATTATACATCACTTTAACAATTCAATTAAGCAACAGATATAATATATTAATTATTATAATATTCGTTCATGTGATGTCTACATTTAAATTTGAATGCGCACAGCTTTTCGTGCCACTAAATATTATACAATTACCTTCATTTATTTAACGATTATATACACATATTAATTATATAATGCATACCAAGTGTACCTATTCATCAATGAGATAAGACTAAAAACTTAAGTCCTAACCAATTCAATTTTATAAAAATACAAATATATATTTTCAACGTCCAATTTAGCTTATTTTGTCAAATATTATATAATATTTTTTAGTTTTTGTTTACTCCAGCGTCATTTCAAAATGAAAAAATTCTATGGACAAGTCAACTAGTGACAAGTGAAACATTTTTATGGCTATAGAGCATAGGCACTAAAAATTTACGACTCGTTTTATAAGTAAATAAGTTATAATACCCCGCCAAAATATTCTAAATATTTAATTTGTAGAACTTAAATCCATATGAATTTTTAGACTATTTTTTCTCGCTTTTAGTTTTTCAGCCTACTTTGAAAAAATGTTAATGGATGTCCACCAAATTTTAATGAAAACCTACAACGATAATTTTTATGAACCATTATTAATAAAACAATATAAAAACCATTGTTTGGAAAATTATTAATTAAGTGATATATTAAAATATTTTTTATAGTACATTCTTTTTATAATAATAGGAGTATAAAACAGATATTATAATAAATATTTTTGCATAAAAATTCTTAACTTAACCATTTTAATTTTGAAAATTAACATCTTGCTTTTTGATTAAAAAATGATTTTATAATGTCTGCCTATCGTTACAATAATATCTTTCAGATCTCAAGTTAATTTCTTAGTTTTTCAATTTTATCAATTCATAAATTATTAAGAATATTAAATAATGGTAAAAAAAAGTATTTTAAGAAATTAAACTAATCAATTTGTTATAAAATGTTATGTTTTAAGTTTTATTTCTACTCGTGATTCGATTTAAAGATATTTATATAAATTATAAGATGAGCTGTGCATGAGGTGTGCTTGTATATATTCCATTCAAATTTTTTCTTCTTTAAATCCATCTTCACTCTTATCAAATACAAAAAAAAAAATGATATAAACAATGCATCAAATAACTCATAAATAGGAATTTTTTTAAAGGGTTTCCAATTTTAGAACAATCGCAACCCAGCCTTTAAAAGGCATAGATACGACATTGGATATATCTATTTATAAAAGAATATATTTATACATAAAGTCATTATTGAATTATCATTATTAAATTATAATATAGATGATAGTTTATAATTTTTGTCACTGAAACAATAATGATCATAAAATGAAGACTATCATTATTAGGTTTCAATTTAAGTTATACGTGAATACCATACAATATTTAAAATATACCTAAACCTAAACTATGTTATAAATTAGATAGGTATAAAAAAAAAATTATGGTTGTAAATTAACTGTAAAAATCTAAAGTTTTAATTTTTTCAGAGGTATTTATAAGACCCTTCTCTCACCTAAATCAGCCAATATGTATAAAAGAGGGTATGTATGGAATTTAATTAACTATTAGGAAAATTTTGAATACAAATATTCATGTTGAAATACTTTCATAGCGGATGAAAAATATAGACTAAAACGAGTAAACAGATTAATAAAGTTAACAGAATGTATAATATTTATAATACAGAATGAAATTAATGCTATAGATATAAAATAGTATAATTGTACCTCAACAGTCGACTCGTGTATTATTTAAAAATACAGTGACTTTCAATTAGGTATGTACCTATGTCGTATAGTTAATACAATTTATATTATATAATAACTAACCTAACCAAAATAACTAAATCATGTAGTATGCACTCTAATTTTTTTCAACTATACAAAAAATAATAACAAAATAGGTGTTTTTTTATATATTAATTAATTATACTTACAATAATGCCGCGTTGCATAAAAATGATGTAATTTAATAATTCAATAAAATTAAATAAATAATCACGGGCCACTAAATTATGTTTTAAGAAATCATTAATTCATTATTGAAAATTGATTCATAAAATTAATAAATGTGAACTCAGCCCAAGCGGTGAACCGGTAAGGTACGATTCTATAAATTTAATAGCTATTAACATAATGACATACACACACGATTCCGTAAATTTCATTCATTTATACATAATTCTGTATAAATTTAAATGCACCTCTACCTTTAAATTTATTTGTTTTCAATAAAATAAACTATAGTTTTTGATAATTTGATTATTTTTTTTTTTTAATTTAATTAATTAGTTTGTGAAAAAATAATATTAAAGAAATCAAATATTACATAGCATACACTATAATACGTATACTATACTTAAGCTTAATTAATAGTTGTATTATTCTAGAAAGTTTAATTAGTTTTATAGATTCGCCACGCGCTCCGTGTATAAAAAATATCAATTATGTATGAAATTATATTAAATAGATAGTTATAAAAGTAGTATATGTATAAAAAATAAAATAAATATTTGCTATTATAAGTATTATAAAATGGTATAAAAATATTAGTTATTAAAATTTTAGATACTGATTTTTCTTAATAGCTAGTTAATGAAAAAAAAGTAATAAATTATCTCTGGATTTATCTACAAGATTTATACTTTTTATAATAATATATGCTTTAATATAGCAAGTTAAACGCTTTTTACGATAGGTACCCTTCAAACCTATATTTATTTAAAATCGACTAATACCAATTCATTACTTAATTTTGAACTAATTAAAGGTATTCGTGAATCAATCATTTTTAATAAAAGGAACTAAGTGGTATCAATACCCAATAGGTACCTATATAGCTGTATGTCACTGGCTAAATAATTTTCACCTGAGAATACTCGAAAGCAAAAACAAATTTTAAGAACTATATGGGTATAAAGTGATTCAAAAATAATTGAATATAATCCTAGTAGCAGAGATACTATAGTAATAAAATTATTAACGAAACCCATTAAACTATGTAAATTTTTATTACATACATAATACAACTATTATACAAACAATATTTTAAAAAAGTGTAGGTACTTGGTTTTTAAGATTTATTTTATTATTTTAGATTCTAAACGGAGTGATGATTGATAAATATTGATTTTACTATGTCGAGTTGTACACATTTTATAATTTTTTACCTAATCGAAAAATATTGTATTTGTATTTCAATTTTAAAGATGGTTTCTATAAGCTAACTATTGTTAGAAAATGGAAGAGTCAAAAGTAAAAAAACTCCCAGTATCGGGAAATACAAAAAAAAATAAATATTGGGGAAAAACAGGAATTTTTATACAAAATCAAAATTGTTTATTTATTGTAATTCATAAATAAATAATTGTGTAGACTTGAAATTTTCGCCCGTGAGTATTCATACTAGTGTATTTAATTAATATTTTAGTAATTTAATATAAATTGGATTATTTTGTGCTTTTTATAGGAATTTAAAATTTTCAACTTCAAGTATAGATTTATTTTCGATTTGTATATGATACAATGTTTAATATGTACAATAATTTTGAAAAATTAAAAAAGATTGCTTATTTAAGTTTTTCTTTTAAAAACTTAAAAATAAATTAGTACAATTTTATTTCATAGTTATTTTAAGTTCAATTTTAAACATATTAAAACAATAAATATTAATTTAAGTTATTTTTTATGGCTCAAAAGATATTTGTATAGTGAATTAAAATGTTTCACTACTATATGAATATTACTATTTATTATACGCAATATAATTTTTAGAGTAAATAATCTTAAGCTATTATTTATAATACGAACCTATTCATAGTATTCGATTTCTTTTACAGTCAACCGGTATTGACTTGTAAGTTAATTCAACCTAACCATGTAGTATAATATACACCCACTAACATTTAAAAAATATTTCAATTATAAACAAGCAAACATTTTTAACGCATGTACACCAAACTTTAATTAAATACACAAATGATTTTGACACGACTATTCGTATTTATACCATTTACTATGTGTCTCAGGACGCAGGAGAATGTATAATGTATAACGTAAATTCAATTTCATATTATTATCTAAATTGAACGAATGTGCTTCGGACGACTTTACATTCGAACAACTTGCAAAAAAAAAAAATCATGATATAAAATACAATTGTATAATACAGTGATTTTCAACCTTTTTAACAATGTAGCACACTTCTTCTTCTACAAAATTTTTGCGGCACACCAATAATCCATATAATACGTGAAGCATATATTTTTATATAAAATACATATATATATATATATACAAAATTGACTCCATCAATAGATTTATCGCGGCACACTTCAAAGGCGCTCTCGGCACACCAGTGTGCCGCGACACACCGGATGAAAACCACTGGTATAATAACTTCCTTAGGTCCGCCGGACTGACGCAGATTTTATTACTTGGGCCGGGGAAGCGTAAAATACCGGAGATATCACAATGTTATACAATATATATCGTATTCCGTAGTAATAGCGAAGTCGGACAGGCGCCCAGGCTGCAGATTATAATACCGTACTAGTCACGAGATGGGGTTGGCAAACGCTTCTAAAGTACACATCGTAAAATCCATACAGCTGTGCAAACAGACGGCGGGGTCTGACTTCGCAGGCGCATTTTATTCAATTCCCATTGATGGATCGGCGTCGACGTGATATGTCGCTGTCACAATCATCAGCGTCGCCGTCGTCGTCGTCGTCGTCGTCATCGTCGTCATTGTCACCGTCATCGCCGTCGTCGTCGTTGTTATTGTTTTTCGCATTGTTTTTGTTGTTTATACTGGTGTTGTGTTATATCGAACAGCTTCGGCGGCGGCGACGCATACTTATCCAGAATAACAGATTACGCAGGCGACAGTGAGCGGCGGGCGACGACGCGACAACGGTGGTGGCGACCAACGTGGAAGGGATCGGTCACGGGGAGCGTGTCGGTTGACGGCGGCGAGTCAAAGCCGTACCGTTCTCGCGCTCAACAGGTCCGGCGTTATATCTCCGTGGGACGCGCCGCTCGCAGCAGATTTATAGTGGTGTGCCCATATCACGGCGTACAAACCGTCTCGGCGCGCCTGGTAAATATCTCGACGAAAACATTATATATAACGTCGTTCCACCATTGCCACACGTCGCATTTCGTTTTCCTCGCTCCGCGTACAGATCCTGTGCAGTGCGCCTGTCTCGCCGCTCGTCCCGTGCGTGTGCGTGTGCACCCACACTTCCGCACACACGCACTCCCACGCACGCACACACAGTCGTCTCGCAGGGGACCATTTAGTGTGAGGACGGCTCATCGCGCGTGCGTGGCTGCGTGCGCGTTTGTATCGCGCGCCCCGTAAGAGGAAATAAATAAATAAATAAAAAAAAAAAAAAAAACGGTTCGCTCATCGGGTCCCGGGTCGGCGCGTGAGCGACGGGGGCCGTGGTACTCGTCCGCGGGTAGTTCTGCGGATCGCACTGTGCCGGTGGTCATGACGTTCCGGACCAACGGCCTCGACAAGCTGCAACAACAACAGCTACAGCGCGGACAACAGTACTCGCACTATCCCAACAACAATCGCCGACTGCACCGGAACCGTTACGACGACGACGACGGCGGCGATGACGACATAACCGGCACGGCGGCCGACCATCAGCCACCGTCGTTTCCGGCATTCGGCGACTCGAGCACATGCATACACAAGGTAAGCAGACAGCGCGCGCGCAGACGTAGTACGAGCACAATACGCATATAGAATATAATATTATTATTATAAGTGTATTTTCGTTTCTCGTAGACGGCCAAGTGCAGTCGTATACTTATTTGCAGTATTATTATTATTATTATTATTATTATTACTATAACGTGCGCTTTAGTGATGTTTGCAAGCGTCCCGGTTGACATCGGAACTCCGCGCCGTGAACCCGGAACGCGACTTTAAAGCGAGAGTAACAGAGAGAGTGAGAGAGAGAGAGCGAACGAGCGATCTAAGTCTAAAGTGAGAGGAAACTCCGCCGCTCACATGTAAACACACGCGCGCGTTCGTGGAAACAGAAACCTGTATATTGGCGTACACGCCTTTCTCCGCGCGCGAACGGTCGAGAGAGCGGACTCGACGAGACATGATGATGATTGCGATGATGATAATGAAGGTGGATGATCGTATAATAAACGCCACCGTCCGCGATCCGCGGACGTACCTATCATTAATAATAACAATATACGCATAACGATAAATCGCATTATCGCGATGGTCCAACGAATAAAATATTATGGCCAGAATATAGTGTTAGAATTGAGAAAAAAAAATTTTGTTAGGGGATGAAAAGTGTAGAAAAGTTATTTGCGTGCCCAGAGATTTTCTCGTAGATTGGAGATATTAGGATTCAATATTATATCGTGTGGAAGCGAAAAGCTAAAATATTTTTTACGAAAACAAGAGGAACCATCTCTCCCCTTCCCCCTTCACGAATTCGAGCACAGCACATAGATCATGTACGCATCACTCCTCGATTACCTATATAAAACCTCTGCGATCGTCGGACGTGCACACGATAGATATTGCACTTCATTTGACCGCCGTACGTGTATAAACGTATGATATTTATACGGTTACTATGCACACATTGTACATAGGTACTTAATCGGATGCGAATATCGGCAATTCACGTCACCACGTTAACGTAGCAGTAAATCAACGCCGCCGTATGGTGCATTAATCGTATCGCCGTTAACATATGGCAGCCGAGTCGAAGTTTCGGCGATGAGAGAACGGTCGCGCCCGGGGATCGGGAGGAACCGCCGACGTACAACCGCTCTCCCCATCGATCCTCAGTATTCCCATCACCCGCCTATATGCGCGCGAAATATCTATGTGTATATAATAGTCTGTTGCCGAACGGTCTTCTCGGAAAAATCAATTTTCTCGATGTTTGCCTATATTTATACATTATAAACACGCACACACACAAACACACACAATATGTGTATTTATTATCACGTTAAATTTGTTTGTGTAGTCATAGCGTAGGTAAATGCATTAAATTCATGTGGTATACAAAGGTGTAGATATATTATACGTTAAATTGGTATACACATATTGATCACAGACACGCGTCCCGGCGACTACTTTAAGCCTATATACAATAGGGCGGTGAAATTCAAAACATTTTTCTGGAGATTTCATTCAAACAATCACTTATAATACGTACAAAGACTTGATTTAAAATCCTTCGAGTTTGCAGTTAGTTAAACCGAGTAGGAGGCGCCTGGCGGTGTCCGGCTACAGGTCTCCAATATATAATGTATAATTTTCATATGATTCTATAGTCTATACATAAAACCGCATTTTTATTGCTCGTTTTACTTGTGTGTGTGTGTGTATATATATATATATAAGCCTATTACAGTCAATGCACCGTAGTCTGCAGTATTTCTAATCGTCGTTTATTAACCGCATAATATTTGTCACCAAAAATTGCATTTCCATACGGACGTTTTACCGTTGATTTTGATTATGACGTGATTGTGTACGTCTCGGACTAATTCATATTATAGCTGTATGCTGTTGCGTCGAACACAATTTATACGTACAGAAGATACATTAATAATATAACTAGTTTTTTAAAAATACTGATGTTAGTTTTTGCTTCTTTTTGTTAATTAAAATAATTATTATACAGTCATATTCTCGAATAATATTTCAGTGTATATTTTATTATATTATTTTATTCGTTATTTGCAAATTGCAACATATATATATATATATATATATTATATAACTGTGAATCATATTTCTGTAATTGTATAACTATAAAAATGATATAAATACATTTTAAAATAATTTATAAGAGTATAATATAAATATGGAAGCAAACATATGTTTCCATACGGCTACGCCTTTGAATGCGCAGTAGAGTCTTAGGATATTATAGTTTAGTAAGTTGCGCGCACAGAGAAAAAAAATCAATTATAATTTATAAATAATGGTAGTCACGGATGAAAAGCAATGGAATTGACCGCGATATACCAAATTGTATATTCATATACTATATCAATCATTGCATGCTTCTGAATACGTTTTAGAGATCGATATAATATTACTAAACTATATTTAAATATATTTAGAGTGTGTATAGTGTATATCTATTAGTGATTAGTATTATAATTATTTGTAGTAGAATATATTATTATAATAATTTATAATCAAACCAGTGGCGAATACTAGATAGGAGGGTGATAAAGGGCAATTACTCTACCCCCTCTATGGGCTGAGTTTCAAAAAAAAAAATTAATGTTGTAGTCTTTGATCAAAGTTGATTTTAAACTAGTGTGTATTATATTGAATTTTAAGGAGATTTGTGCAAACAAATTTTAAGGAGTTAAATATAGGCAATTTTCTAAATGTATGCATGCGTGTCGTGGAAATATGTAGAGTATTAAGTGGTCATTATTATAATATTATAATGTGTGTGCGGTGTGACTAATACTAATGCACGCACATGTAAATGCTTAAATGAATACCTATTATTTATTTTTTGGTTTATATCAACTTTTTTCCAGTCATTATGACTAATCTAATTATTCGATAACATTTCTGAAACCTAATTTAATTATACTTCATGAAATTTATTTACTTATCTTATATTTTTAAGTCAGTTTACTTTTAATACCTATATATTACAATAGTTTAAAATAAAATATTGAAGAGTTTAATATTTCAAATTCAAATAAGTGAAAAAGTACTTTTTTTAAACTCTGTGATTAATTGAATTATTTCAGAAGAATTAATCATAGAATTAAATCAGAACAAATAAATAATTGACATATTAAATAAATTTATTTTGGTGTACAACTAAGCCAAGATTGAATAACCTTAAAAGTTAGTAAACAGTAGTAGATATTAAATATTAATTATAAATAAATTATTAAATAATATAGGTACCAAATAAATTAATCAAGTTATCAATATATTTAATTAAGTTTTGTAGGGAATTTTAGTTATTTTTTTTCTCGATAGAGGGCTAGTATCCTTGTATCATTGATTACAAATATTTAGAGCTTCATAGTAAAATTTTAAAAATTCTCTTCTTGAACCATTTATGGATAAGTCACTGAAACAAACCATTAATTAAATTGAAACTTATATGTTCATAGTTTATACTAACATCTATGAGAATGTATAAGAGTAACTTTTAATTATTCAGTAAATTGTTTATATCTATGTAGAATTATTCTTTTTAATCACCGTTTTATTAATTATTATAACTGAAGATTACCTACTAACTTAAAAGTGTAGTTATTTTATGAGTGACTTATTTTCTAAGTAATACATAATTATTAAAGTTAACATTACTCTTATGAGTTGTAGTCTCATCATATACGCTTATTGTATATTTTTACGTTCTATAGATTGTGTTAAATATTATATTTTAAATAGTAAAATTAAATATGATCTATGGACTATGGTTAAAGACTAAAGTTAATCACCGATTATATCTAGCTACTTATAGATACATAAATTCAACGTTGCATCGTTGAAGTCACTTTATTTTTTTTATTGACGGTTTTTTTCTATATGGCACATATGCAATTTGTATATAAATTATAATAATTATATTATATAGTATTCTATATCTATTTTAATACATCTATTATAGACAAAACAATTTTTTTTAACAAAATAATCGATGAATAATATATTATATTGTACTTGTAGTGGACAGTATTTTTTTCCGTTTTGGCATTATGGGTCGGCCACTGGGTCTAGTTCGGTCGTAGTACGTAAAATGTCGTATCATCTCCCCTTGATATATCAAATAATGAAATGGAAATTATTATAAACAATACATATTTAAAATGTTTTATTATACATTTTAATACATACCTATAATATACATATACATATAATATGTAATACGAGTGTACATTTAATTAATTTAGACTATGACAGATTTGAGAACTGTAACTGTCTACAGTTTTGAAAACGTTTTCGTTTAGATATATTATTTTCATTAACTGCACTTTGAAAACAAAATTGATTTTGATTTAATGATGTTTTTGTCTTGTTGTATTATGATATTTGCTTTTGACATTGACCGATAAACGTTTCACGTTATCGATTTTGTTGGTTTATTGTTTTAGACTTTGGTAATAACTAATAAGTAATAAATAATGAACAATGTAATGATGACAATTTACTGAATATAGTGTGTGTTACTGTTGCATAATTATTATCATACATATTAATATTAAATATTTATGTATACAAAAATATGTTATAATAGATATTATATGGTAAACACTTTTGACACCAACTTGATAAAGCATTGTTTGTTCTAAGAACTTTGAGACTTAAATTTATTAGACGTTAGCTATTAAATTTCCATTGCTACCGATAACAATAGTATTTATTAATTTTTTAATCTTTTTGTATAATGTTTAATTGTACATAATAATATAATGATTTACAAATACTGTAAATAATTAGTATACAGTATACATTATACACCACACTGGGCATACTGTAAAACTATATACAATTTATACAAATTATTTTATTATAATATTGAAATTTAACAAATTAACCATTTAATTGAATATTTGGATTAATGATCGTTAAAACTTAAATATAATTAAACTTTGGTATGATAAAAAATCACTGAAATACTAAGTAGTACCTAAAATATATTATTATTCTATATT